GAAGTCCGGCAGACGTTCGTCGTGGGCTTCGAAATTCGGAATTTTAACCGGATATCCACCGGACGTCCGCGACGGGCACTCGACGTTTGGAGTTTGTCAGACGTCCCCCGGACAAAGCGTGCCGCCTGGGTTCAAGGTACGGCGATAAGATATCGAAGACGGCGATTTGGTACGCACATGCGGGATTTGGTACGCACATGTGTTGGTCTTCGATGCTACGGCGCTTTAGGTTTCGCAGTCATACAGAAGGAAAGCGCGACCTGCCCTGAAACGAGCGTACGTCACTGAACAAAACAAAAAGAATGAAATGCACTGACTGGGGCGAAAGCCGTTCCGCCAAATTACGCTTGGTTCTCGGAAAACGCCCCATTTATCGGCAAGCGAGCGTGCATGTTGGCTTCGATACACGAGCGAAGAGGGAGGGGGGACAAAAGGACGCAGCATGAGCTGGCAGAGTTATACCAAGAAAAAATTATGATAAAGAAAGAAAAAACGAGGTCGGTGGGGGGAATTCTCCGAATAGCGGCTGTTACGAGTCACGTATCCAGAAGAGAAAGAACGCGAGGTATACACATATATCTATATATACGTCTTGGCATAGAGCAGCAACGCGAGCAGACGACAATCTGCGCGAGATAGAGGAAGCAGAAGACAATAAAGATGGCGGCCGCCTCGTCGTCTGCAATACGTGACGGCCAGCGGTTTGGCGTTCCATGGAGCCTGAATCACGGTCCAGCTACTACGGCGTCGTCTGTGCTACGCCGGTTGGCCCGCGATCCCGGAAGCAAAACAAAAGGTTCCTTGCCCGCCAAGTGAACTGAACGGTTGCGTCTTGGCGGGAAGGTCTCTCTGTCGCGTATACTATAAATAGGTTACAGCCGCGTTATAGGTACGTTTACGATGCGACCTGCACCCCCTTAACATCAGTCGCGCTGTCGGCCGCGTTAACAGTGACACTTGGCACACGACGATTCGCCTAAATACAATACGCGACAAGCGCGCATGCGCCGAACTTGGTGCTAGAGCTTGTGTGTCGTGAATTCGCGTGACGAAGTTTAAGGCTGGCAAGGCGCCATAGCAAGAGCATTGCGCAGCAATTTACAACGGAACCAACAACGAATCGAAACTGCCGCATAGGGCAGTTCGTTTATCATGAACGTTAGTATAGTTCATGTAGAACCAGCCTGCTTATTAAATTCACTCGCGTATACTTTCTTTCGAGGACTAAGAAGTGAAATACTGCTGCGTTACAAACGACCAATGGGCAGCAGGCATTAACGTGACGGCAACGTATACGCCATGTCGTTGTAATGTGTTTATGAAGAAAAAAAAGATGCATGCAAAGAGCAATCTTTCACCACGCTGGCCGTGCAACAAAATGGCAGCCTCGATGACGTCAGTGCATGCCCGCAATAGATCAACGAATTGCACTGACACCCCCGAAGCCGCGCCATGTTAGAGCACCAGCGTGGTGGGAACACGTATAAACTCTATGGGTGGGAAAGCAGGGTTCGTGACGTCACGCCAATGCCGCCAGCATAACGCACGCCGCTTCCGACGTTATTCAGGCACAGAGGCCGACAACGTGCCGGCCGAGCCTTCGTCACATCAAAGCAATGTTACCATTTTTTTAGTAAATAAGCTACGATGACCTCGTCTGTAGCACAGAGGTTCATAATTGCACACTAGAGGGAACTCTGCCGATAGTGTCTATGGGACCGGAAGCTGGTTGTGACGTAACATTTTGTGGCGGATATGACGTCATAAAATATGGCGTCACAACCGGAAGCAGGTAGCAACATGTGCACGTCCCCTACATGGCGCGAAATAATTTTTTTTCTAAATTGTTGACCTTTTACGTACGTTATAAATACCCTATACTTTATTGCGCCTTATGGCTCGCTGAATGCGTGCGCGGGACAAAAAAAAAGACCAACAAGAAATATTAAGAAGCAACGTCGTTTTATTAGCCAAATGGTGTTCTTGCTATATACACTAAAAAAACTTAGCAGATAAAATTGTGACAACTGTCCACGAGCACAATAGTCTAATAGTTCGAAAACTCGATCACGTTCCAATCGTGGAAAACCATTGCAGTGAGACAGTAGCCTCCAGAATGACGCTTTGGCAACCGTAGAGTACGGCGTCTCGCTGTTTAGCGTGTTTCATTCACCGTAACCAAAGACGAGGGCACGCCGGCCGCGCGCCAGAGAAGGCAGTCGGCAGTCCCAGGACCGGCTATCTACACATTTTGTGAGCTAGTTTAGCTCTGCAATGTCCCGCCCATAAACAGCACATAAGCAAATAAATAAACTACGGAAGGTACACATTAAACCACCACGCGAAAGTGAGCGATGCCTCGTTGACCCGGTAATGCGCCGAACTAAACACAGTCTGATATCTGACAGATCGCCTGGACACCCCTTCCCCACCCCATTTATGGCACTCGACCGAAAATTGAGGCAGGCAATCAACCACTTTATCCAGGTGTCTGATAAATCATAAAGTAAATTTACAGTTAACTTTGACATATATAAATTACGACTCCTAGGTTAACTATACTTGCGCAAAATCTGTTAGACAACGGACATCATCCATTCAGGTTTCAATCATTATCATCACGATCACAGTGCGCAAGTTGGCGCCCTTCCATGTCTGTTTCGTACACTGTCCGAAAATTCTGGTCATGAAGTAGTTCATCGTCTTCGTCAGCCTCAATATGGCGAACGTTCCAGAGCATGCAATTTAGGCGCTCGTACTATACGCCAGACGCAGCGGCCAATGCGTGTTCGTCTTCTGGATGTACGCCAAGCCATGGTTCGCTCTAGAAGTAGTCAAGGCTTTCTTCCCAGTATACAACCAGACCGCACCACAATTCGACTGTTCGTGTAATCTGCCTCCGGAGGTTGGCTTGACTCCCAGTCTGTCAGAAATCGAAGGCGTGCGAGCGTCGTACACGATGGCGGAGCTCCAGGCACCAGGACCAGATGGGATGGGAGGCACTGTCCACGATGAGCGAGTACTGTAATGCTTTCTACAATGTAATTACACTGTTGGAGAAACTTCTTTTTTCTCTCTTTTTTTTCCGCATCGTAGCAATAATCGTCACCTCGTAAAACTAATACAGTTTGCACCAATGGCGGAGCTCCAGGCACCAAGACCAGATGCCATGGGAGGCACTGTCCACGATGAGCGAGTACTGCAATGCTTTCTACAATGTAATTGCTCTGTTGGAGGAACTTCTTTTTTCTCTTTTTTCCGCATCGTAGCAATAATCGTCACCTCGTAAAACTAATACAGTTTGCACCAATGGCGGAGCTCCAGGCACCAAGACCAGATGCCATGGGAGGCACTGTCCACGATGAGCGAGTACTGCAATGCTTTCTACAATGTAATTGCTCTGTTGGAGGAACTTCTTTTTTCTCTTTTTTCCGCATCGTAGCAATAATCGTCACCTCGTAAAACTAATACAGTTTGCACCAATGGCGGAGCTCCAGGCACCAAGACCAGATGCCATGGGAGGCACTGTCCACGATGAGCGAGTAGTGTAATGCTTTCTACAATGTAATTACACTGTTGGAGAAACTTCTTTTTTCTCTCTTTTTTTCCGCATCGTAGCAATAATCATCACCTCGTAAAACTAATACAGTTTGCACCAATGGCGGAGCTCCAGGCACCAAGACCAGATGCCATGGGAGGCACTGTCCACGATGAGCGAGTACTGCAATGCTTTCTACAATGTAATTGCACTGTTGGAGAAACTTTTTTCTCTCTCTTTTTTCCGCATCGTAGCAATAATCGTCACCTCGTAAAACTAATACAGTTTGCACCGTTTGGGGAGTCGTTTTTTTGTACGAGAACATTACCAATCATCTGGGTTTACCCGCAATAGTTCTGCACTCCCAGGGGAGTGTTTTCGTGCTAAAGACAAGTCACCTATCTTCCCTCTAAATGAAGTTTTGCACCTTCACTGGAGTGCTTTTTTTCGCAAAAATTTTTGTTGCAGAACTATAATAAATATCTTGTTTAACACTACATATAGCCTCCACCACACCCAAAACTGACAAAAGAGGAAAGCGTGATACTGCGACGCCTGCAAAGCAGCACATACACACATGGGGCACTAATGCACCGTCTCTATCCAACGAGATATAGCTCTATGTGCCCGCTTTGCAGCGTACCGGACACCCTGGCACACTTGCCTCTTGCATGCCAGTGTATTGCCAGACGTAATCTGCAACAACACACGACTGATAATGAAGCAGGACGGACGAACGAAGACCTAACCGAAACGAGGGAGGCGAAGCTCGCCCTCGAGGACCTGGAAGAGCAACAACAACTCGTCGCCAGGGCCAAGAGGGCAGTAGAAGCCAGACGGTTCCTGGACTAAGGAGCCCTCCAACCTCAGGGCGACACCGGGCATTGCTTAGGGCACTGTTTCAAAATAAACGTTCACTTCTCTCTCTCTCTCTCTCTCTTAACACTACATATACCTTGTCCCATTTCGGAAGTTCCTGTCTCCGATCGATGTTCGCATGGCGGTTCACAATACTCACTGTAAATAGCTTTGAACCCTTAGAGGAGTATTTGCCTTTCCAAGCAGTCATCTGTCCTCATTCTGAATACACTTTGGTATCTTTATGGAAGTCTGTTCTCAGCTTGCAATACCCTAAAGTTCATCTATTCTCTAGTGCGTCCGTAACGCAGGCTACTATGCGCATGCCTCAGAGGAGGTTGCATCAGTGCAAACACGGGCCGAAGAAAAGAAAACGCGAGAACGGTCACTCCACACAAACATACGGCCGGGATTCGAACCCACGATCCCGAAGCTAAACGGCGCGACGCAACAGCCACCGAGAAACCACGGCGTCGAACGGCACCAGGTTTCCCATTACTTTGTGATATCTATGGGGACAAAAACTCTATGCATAGTCTGACATGCTCGCTCGCATACATGCACGGCGAAGGGGTAAACAGGAGGCGGGCCATTATGCACTCACCTCTCATCCCGCACGGGTTGGTCCCGGCTGTTGCTCTTGGCGATGACCTTCTGCTCGAAGGAAGAATGGGAACTGTCCGAGAAGCTGCCCGACGTCTGGCGGCTGCGACTGGATGACACCGGCGCCGCCCCGCTACCTGCACTCGCGGCGACAAGAAAATGAATAAAAAAAGAGTTAGACACCTGGAATCACGGTAATAGCAAGGGAATAATAAAAAAAGAAGTCGCAGCTTTGCCGCAAAGGCGAAGCAATGAACGCAATAGCAACGAATTGGAAGGTCACACGCAGAGGGCAAGCAGATCGAAACATGCCCCACGTTTCTCACGCACAAATAACGCACGAAACGCATGAACGCGAATAAGCGTCTCAGTTATTACTTCACTGTAGGGAGCTTTAGAATACCGTTTGCAAGCGCCACGGGCGTAGCGGGCGCCATACGAGTTTTAGAATAGCGTTTGCCCTAGTGCGATCCGCAACGCACGATCGCAGCGACACCGTAGCCTCGAAACCAGCGCTTACGGGCCACATGCGGGCCGCCATTACCACACGCAATTTCGGATTTTCCGCGTGCGGTCCGCGAGCGCGAACGCCGACTCGCGTTACGACGCATGCGCAGTGGCAGCGACCGCACCGCAAGGGCTCGCGGTGCGCTATTCTAAAACTCCCTAGTGTCTGAAAAAGCGCACTCTTTTCGCAAACGGATACTGTGCAATGATTGCAGTGACCTTTGTGCGCCCGGTAACTACAACATAATCGTTCCAGCGAAATCCAAAGGCTAGCAAATGTACGATCCTCCCCACTGCAAGGTAAGGATGCGCGATCGAGCGTCCACCCCCTTATTCTCTACGCGTGGTAAAGTACGCGTGGGAGATGAGCGCACGCCGCCGCGTTGTTACTATGTGACGACGCGCGCTCATTACGCCATCTTGCTGGTAATGCTGAAAACACGATAGTCCCACCCACCCCTCTCGAGATGCCGGGCACCAGCGGTAAGTGGTAGACATAAATAGCTTGCCGCTTGAACGTTCGGGGACGAGTTCTTCTGCAGCTCAGTGGTTAACGCCTCGCGGTCACGTCTCAGTGGTCCCAAGTTCGATTCCGCGCGCCGGAGTCTTTTCCTGGACTTTTTCTCTCTCGCGTTTTCATATATATAGATACGTATACATATACGGAGAGTGACGCTGACGCCGGCGGAAAAATGCTGCCGAGAGTGTCCACATAGTTGATATCGCAATAAAGAAAGTTAAACATCAGAAATCACTACAATGCGAACGGAGTAAAAATGAGTCAGACACCCAAGCCATTATAAGAGAGTATATATCAGTTGTACGCCGGCAGTCACGACAATTCGAAAGGAATAAGAAACTGTTCTAACAAGCGTTCACAACGCGAAGAGAACAAGAAAAGAGCTAAGCAGTTGTAATCACAGCAATGCGAAGGGAATAAAAAGAAACATTTAAACACCAGGAATCATCACAACAGCGCGAACGGAGTAAAACGGAGTTAGTCACAAAATATTGTAATGCGAATAAAGTAAAAACATGGGTGATACAGTTGCAAATATGTCAATTTGAAGAGAATTTGAAAGGACACGATTGAGTTTAAACACTACGAACGGAGTAAAAAAAAAGGTGGTTTAAACTCCTGGAATCACTACAACGAACAGAATAAAAAAAAAGCTAAGCCCCCAAATGACACACTACGAAGGGTATAAAAGTTACAGACCTGAAATCACGGCCATTTGAAGGGAATAAAAACGTAGTCAGACACGTGTTTCCAGGGTCAACGAAATAAAAAAAAAAGTGGCCAAAGATCTGCGATCTTGCACTGAAGCAATAACGCAATTGAAAAGGTGAAATTCCGGTCAGGCAGGAGCCTGTTAGGATACGAACAGATCGAGGTGTGCCTCCAGTAAACTTAACAGCGATTAAAAAAGTACAGCGGCCGTGAAAGTGCATAGCGGAGTTAAAGGGCCATGACACCCAATTTTCGATCATAATCTCCGTTATGTCGGTTCATTCTTGTGATTTCGCAAGTAATCTCGCGAAACTTCCCAGCGCATTTGGGCTAGCAGTTCATAAGTGAATATTTTGACAACCACACGAGCGACCCTGAGAGCGGGGCAACACTGCAGCGCACTCGCGAGTCGTGACGTAACAAGTAGCCAGCGGTGCGAGCGTCTGCACTTTTGCGAATATTGTTCCGTGATTCTCCAGGTGATATATATATATATATATATATATATATATATATATATATATATATATATATATATATATATATATATATATATATATATATTGAAAGTCTTCCTGGATTCAGTCGAGCTGTAAGTCATAGGATTGATCAATTTATTTATTTATTTATTTATTTATTTATTTATTGATATGCGGGGTTTAACGACCCAAAACCGCCTTATGATTATGAGAGACGCCGTAGTGGAGGGCTCCGGAAATTTCGACTACCTGGAGTTCCTTAACGTGCACCCGAATCTGAGCACACGAGCCTACAACATTTCCGCCTCAATCGGAAATACAGCCGCCGCCGCCGGGATTCGATCCCGCGACCTGCGGGTCAGCAGCCGTGTCTTAGCCACCGCGGCGGGGTTATAAGTCATCAGTTGAAGCGGACGAGCAAACAAAAAAAAAACGATGCTTTATTGCTAACATTTATAACATAACGACGGATGCGTTGTCAACAACGATACACATATTTCCCAACAGTTTCGGGATGGGTCCTCCCTTCGTATATATTATACAGGGCATCCCAATTATCACGCAGCACGATATTAAAAAAAGAGGAACGGCTTGGCGCGACGCAGACCTGTTGCATATCGTTCCCAATATGCAAAAGTAGCCACTACTAATTATCTCGTGCATGTTCATTAACTAATTAGCCTAATTATTCTTGTTACTCACAAAATACTCGCCTATCTATCAAAACGTCAATGAAACAGACGTGTACATGTTGACACGACATCTGTCTGTGCCAATTGCGTACTCTTTTTTTTTTCTGTGAATAAAGAAAACCCGCGAAATATAGAAATTAACGCAAGATTGAGCTCACACCCGCGAAAGAAAGCAGTGCCCACAAATAATCTTACTGGAAGCAACCGCTTCGGCTTTTTTTTTTTTTCCGTTGCCAGAGACAACGTTTTGCATATTGGCCAGGGTATACAGGTCGGGTGCCAACATGTGTCGCGGTTTTGCTGGGATTCCTTCCACTCGATTGTACGCGTTGCTATCACCATTCACATCTCACTGTGCAACTAACTGTTCGCGGCCGGATCACTGTTCTGATTAGATCGATTACAGCCTGACTGTGTAAGATCAAAGCGGCACGTTTATTCGGACGGGAAGTGGCAGAAGCGCGATCTGCATATTTTTTTTCTTTCTACATTTCCTTGATTGCCACTGGATATCTCAAAGTGCGCTTGAGTGAGGATGTTTTTTTTTTTTTGATACGCGCAGCGGTGTACTCAGGTTTTTTTTGTTTTCGTATTTCGCGGGCTTTTTTTTTCATCAACCGGAACAAATGAGCGCGCAATTAGTTCGTTTCAACATGCGCACATATGACTCACATTTTGATAATTAGGCGAGTACTTTCAGTTACAAATATCATTATGACTGATAAATTAATTGGCATTATCGAAAAAATTAATAGCGGCTACTACAGTACACTGCATACAAGTACAATATGTACTAGCTTTACTTCGCGCAATGCCGTTCTCATTTTTTTAAAGCACGGTGGGTGATAGCTGGGACAACATTATATATATATATATATATATATATATATATATATATATATATATATATATATATATATATATATATATATACTTCCTGGCACTAATTTTGCTCTGGCTGAAACATCGGTACGAGACAACGGCTCCTATCCTTGCTGCTAATTACGTCACACGAGCCACAACAAAATGGCGGTCGTCGGCTGCGGCCGGAGTACGTAAACGGCGATCTTGTAGGCCTTATTTTGCACTGAAATATTGTTTTGGGGGGCGAAGCTCCTTAGGGTGTGGGTCTGTCCATCTTCCGTCGTTGTCGTACTTAGCCACCGGGATGCTATATGGAAGATGGCGGTACTTGGAGTGTTCACTAGATGGACACACGGACGGACGGACAGACAAGCAGACGGACGTACGAACGGGTGGACAGACGCGCGGAGCGGGTATGTGCCACAGGGGATGCGAGATGGCGGTACTTGCAGTGTTCACTAGATGGACGCACAGACGGGGGTACGGACGGACGGACAGGCAGACTAGCAGACGGACGTGCGGATGGACAGACGCGCAAAGCGGGTATGTTCCACAGGGGATGCGAGATGGCGGTACTTGCAGTGTTCACTAGATGGACGCACAGACAGACTGGAAGACGGACGGACAGACAGACGGACACATGGATGGACGCACGGATGGTCGCGCGGACGGACGGACGGACCGAAACACGGACGGGCTGACGGACGCTTCGTGCCACTCATCATCATTCCCTCCGTGAATATGCTGCGATTTTTTTTTCCTTCACGAAAACCCCCGTATCATTGGGCGACCGTGTCATAGTTCCTTCAAGGGTAATGCCGGCGGATATCAACACAATATAGTTTATACCGACGCCTCTTACAATGCTCAGAACGTGAGGGCAACGGAAGATAGCCACACAGGCACCTCCACTAACAGGTTCATTTTGAAAACATAACATTAAAGACTCTCAAATTTCAGAATACCGGGTAAATTTGCATTTCCGTAAAAAAAAAAAAACCTGCGTCATCATTGCGACTCGCAAAGCCCAAGAATTCGTAAGTTCGCGTAAAACATTTGCACCTTTAAAAAATCCTTTTTTTTTTTTGTAAGCTAAAAGTGCCGTTTTCCGAAGGCCCACAGCCGGCCATTGCCATAGTTTGTTGTTGGAGTAAATGATATACATGAAAGTAACAATTTTTCCGCAGTATGCTTCAAGACGAGTGATTTAGCGCACTGAAGAAAAGCTCGCACATATTCGTTCTGCGATATACATGACGGGCACTATATATCTAGATTTTTCTTCCTTTATTTCTTCCCTTCTTTTTCAATAGGTTACGCATACGTGGGTCAAACGCGTCGGGGCTATCGGCAGAGGCGTGAAA